TAATGTGTGTGTGTGTGTGTGTGTGTGTGTGTGTGTGTGTATATGTGTGTATCTCAGGTGGCCGTAACGTTTGCTGTGGGGTCAGAGGTCGGTCTCCAGAGCAGCAGCGACTTCTCTCAGATGGGGAAACCGTTCCTGATGGGAACCGTGGCTCTGGGTGAGAACCGAACCAGTTCCCTCTTTTTTTATTTATTTTTTTTATTTAACCTTTATTTAACCAGGAAGTCTCATTGAGATTCGGAGTCTCTTTTTCAAGAGAGACCTGGCCAAGGTAGCAGCCAAACCACCAAAAAAATCATACATATTACATTTTACATAATAAAATCAGAGCAATATGTTAAAACACATTGGGCATCTCAAGAAAAACAAGCACATATCTCCATCACTACATTCTTCATGGTTGCTTTAAATTCATTAATGGACACTAGAGTTTTTCTAATTTGAGCTCTTTCTGGAGGTTATTCCAACCCCAAGGTGCAGAGTAGGAGAATGCAGTTTTTCCCAACTCAGTTAAAGCCCGGGGTACATTAAAAAGTAACCAGATAACTAGCAGAACTCACAGAGAAGTTAAAGAGGGACAGTGGGAGTTTACCAAGTATTGCTTTATAGATAAAGTTGTGAGAATTATTACTCACATGAGCTTTTAAAATATATAAAATATCACACAAAGTCCTAAAATTCAGATCTCAAACACTGGGATCCAAACAGAGGTGTGGCTTGGCTGCCATCTTGGATTGGAGAGTTTGGATTATTCTTCCTCTTCATCTCCTCTTTCTGTCCTCCTCTCTCCTGTTTCTGAGGAGCCAGGAATGCTAAAAGCTGCTGGCTTTTCCATCCACCTGCAGGACTCTCAGAAGTGGCTCACAGGAGGCCACACAAGTTTGTTTGATCAGAGTTGAACCAAAGAAAAAGAAAATCCAGACACTGGCTGAAGAAAAAAGCCGTTTTTAGACCTTTTCAGACAAAGATGTTTGTCTTCTGTGAACCAGCCACTCAGAAATCTGATTTTAGATGGAAAACCGCCATGTTTTGGCATTTAGAAACTCTGGATTTGTCTAAAATGAGCCTGCAGATTCTCCTGAAAGCCAAATCTGAGGACTTATCGAGACTCCCATCCAGATCTGAGCCTTCTGACCTCTGAGTCTGAGTCCCAGATGCAAAGGAAGGAGTCCTGAGTTAACTCATTGACTGCCAGAGTTTTTTGAGCATTTTGACTGATTTTTCTAGGGCCACAGAATAGTTTGTGCTATGACTATGTAAACACCGAACACACCA